CGACGAGAAGAGAAAAAACGTCGTTCAAATTGAAAATTTCTGGCAAAGACAACAGAAGTTCTTCCACGCAGTCAGTAAGGCGTTAGACCAATTTGTTGAGTCTTTAAATAAAGAAGTGAAGTATCTTGGAGAACATCCCGAGATGACTGGGATGAGTTTGTTAACTCTTTTCATATTCTATCTATTGATATAGTTCAAATGAACTAATAGAATAGATAAAGAAACGAGTCAGGTGATGTCTGACACTTTGAGCTTACTCACCAACATATTTAAAACAACAAATCAGAACATTTCATGTGTTGGTGATTCGACGTTTAAAGCGACTTTAAAAACTATAGCGGAAATGAAATCACATCTCACCGACGAGAATGAAGAAATAGTGATACAGAAGTATCACCAACTTGAAACGATGAACTCGTGGAACATCCCATTAATGTATAACAATTTCTTACACCCATTTATAACACTCTTTGACGCGGGAAGTGTCTTTTTTAATCAGAACGAAACGCTGGACATATTGGTCTCGGAAGCACAGGAATTGAAACAACAGTACTTCATCCAACATAGTCAACCTTCCGCGTTATATTGTAATAAGTCAATCACTTCTATTTTGGTGACGGAACAGAGAAACAACTCACAACTTCCACTTGCTATTGAGTCAATAGTCAATTACTTATACGAAAAGGGATTCAACGTCCCTGGGATCTTCAGAGAAATCACGACGGGGAATAAACAACAAATTGACGACTTGTATCATCGCCTCTCGATATCATCGTTTGAAGACTTCCAACCGGATCTGGTTGCCGCGGTGTTCAAGAAGTTTCTGAGAGAACTTCCTGAGCATTTGTTTGATGCGGAAGTGACGAAATTAACGATTAAAAATTATGAGATGAATGGAGTTGTTGGTCTGAAGAACTCGTTGACTGAATTACTCCCAGAGAACTTCACGATGTTTAAACAGTTGGTGCGACTCCTCTCGAAAATCACGGCGTACGAAGATATCAATTTAATGAACGCAAAGAACTTGGCAGTCTGTTTGGCACCAACCCTCTTTTCATTTGAAGACATCGATACACTGTCCCTCGCGAAGTGCATTCAACTGCTGGAAGTGTATATCTCGAAGTTTGCGGAAATCTTCCCCGACGACGTCGATCAATTGGTGTTCAGGAAGTCGAGAGCATTGAAACGAGCAACAAAAGTCCTTGGCGGGAATGACGCGGAAGTGCTTGGGATGATCCAAAAGCGCGCGGAAAGAAAGAAACTGCCCACGAAGAAAAAGCCATTGCCCGATCTTACTGTTGCAAAGCAAAAACAAAAGGAACAAAAGGACGTGAAAGACTTGAAAGAGAACAAAGAGGTCAAAGAAACAAAAGAAGCCAAAGAGAAAATGCGCCCACAAACGGCTTTGCCAAAAACACCAGTCGTCAAAGAGAAGAAAAGAATGCAACAACAACAAGATATCACTTTTGTGTTTGGAAAGTCGAAACCAAAGCAAACAAGTACTCAACCAAGTGCAAAGGATAAAGAAAAAGATAAAGTGACAGTACAAGACAGGGTTAATCATTATCAAAGCAACCACTGATTGTATCCACTTTTATGGACGTCTACTATAAATTAGTAATTCTTGTCAAGTGTTTTGGTTGTGTGTATTCAAGGTGTTAATTCATTGATGTTAATGAGTTAATAGTACATTTTATTTATTGAATTAGATTGAGAAACTACTGAAAAAAAATAAATAAAAAATAAAATGAAAAACGACAACGGCAGGATTTGAACCTACGCCTCAAATGAGAAATGATTTCGAGTCATACCCCTTGGACCACTCGGCCACGTTGTCTCTTGAAATTAGGATAAAATAAACTATTATGTCAATAATTAATCTATTTATTTACTATTGATATTGTAATTAAAATATATTGGCACTGTAATTCAGTAAAACACGTATCATAAAATATTAATTCAACAATCTTAGAAATAAATTTCATAACAATGACCCATCACAACATGACGGGTTATTTTTTCTGATAAATAATAAGTAGAAACTATACAATTATAATACTGCTCATTATTGATGATGTTTTTTAAAAACATTTTTTAAAAATGTTATTTAGCATCAAACTCAAAAAGCATGAACCCTGTTTTACTGGTAGCTCTCTTTGTGACTGTTTTGTCTCTCCGAGTCGAGAATGAGTATTACAGCAAAGGCACAGGAAGTGTGAGTAGTGTTGGTGTCAACAAAGATTTTTATTTGTATTCAGCGGAAGAAGGTCTTCTCACAAAAGTCGACTTCCAAGGGAATATGGGTTTGGTTTAGTGTATAGTTTTAATATAATACAAGTATAGTACAAGTTCATGAACAGGGTGGAGGAGACATATTGAGAAAGGTGGCAAACACGTAACTGTTGGGCCGCAGCAAGTGTTTGTAGTGTATGAGAATCACGTCACGAGTTTTGATCAAAAAGGAGAAATGGAGTATCAGATTTCTGTCTCAGGGACATGGTCTATTTATACAAACAATTTGGAAGTACTAGTTGGGGATGAAGTGTTTAAATATGCTACAAGGGATGGCAGTCTTCTCTCGAAAGTCTCTGTGAACAATTTAGATAAACCCGTTGATGAGTATTTCCTACAGAAAGATACCAAATGTTCCGCAATGAATGACCGCTTTTGTTTAATTATAGAAGATGGTAAAGTTCTTATAACTAATAGAATAGGGGAATTAGTGAAAGAGATAGATGGGACTCAAATAGTATCGACCTTATTTTCAAGAGGAATTCCCTGTTTTATTCGAAAAAGTGGGAAAGTATATGCCGTGTTTAATAATGAAGAGATTTTGATTAAAAAAGTGAATGGATCCGGTCATTATTTCTTATTCACTACATATGACGCGTCTGAATATTCAGAAGAAATAGTAACACCAGAATTATTAAGTAAAGAAATGGGAGTTGTGGATTACAACGGGAAAGTTTTTCTGCAAAACGAATCCGAGATTGGAAAAGTGAAATTGTGCAAAACCATTCCGGGTGGATTTGTCGCTATTTTGGAGAATAACAAAATTTTTACCATTGGCAAAAATGTTATTGGGTCGTATGTAATTGGTGACCAAGAAGTATATAAGATATCTGCAGATGGTGCCATTGTAATAAGAAATTACGATCATGAAAATGTGTTCAAAGTTCATAGTGAAGAAGTTGTAGGTAACGTTGGGAAAGCAACGAGCGATAGAGGGGTTAAAATTCCATTTTCGTTGAAATCAGTAAGTGCTGTAGTTTCTCACACCAAAATAAATGTGATTGAAATGATTAGTGGGAAAATCCTCGAAAGTGTGAATCTTCCAGAAACTGCTGAAAAAACGCGATGTGTTGTTTTTCAGGGTTTTGTGATTTGTTTTGTCAAAGTCCAGAAAAACACGCAAATTTTATCAATTGAACTTTTTGAAGAAACCGTTGATTGGAAGGCCGAAAGTTATGACGTGTTTAATCTCCCGAAGATTTCAACAATTGTGAAAACAACGAATCTTCCATATAGTGTTGACTTAGCCACAGTTACTGTATCAACCTTAGGAATAGCCAACAAAATGGTATTAGGTATGTTATTATATTATTCTATATTGTTATTAAGAAATAGATTAATACACATATATAATATAATTATAATAATAATATTATTAAAGATAGTAACTTATAGTCTATTCTGAAGGACAATTGTACGTGATTAATCCTAAGACTCTTACTGGAACAAAAGCGCCATTTGAGATGGTGAAACAAGACCAAGAGATGGGAGAAGTACCTTATGTTGCGACATTGAATATCACAAAAGACGATTTTATATTAAAAGGAATTGACTTAGATGTCAACCGTGTTGAAACACACCCCGGGGAATTGGAATCTGCGACTTATGTCATGGCAAGTGGAAACGACTTCTACTTCTCACAGATCACTCCGTTGTTGTCATTTGACTCAACGTATAACTTTAATAAGCCACAACTCTTCATCACTACTGTCGTTGTACTTGCACTCACAGTTATCCTTTACTTCGTCAATAAGAAAAGAGGAATGTCAGATGTTGCACTGGCGCAGAAGAAGCTCACTGAGATGCAGAAAACCAACTGAATTTATTAATTCTTCGTCATAGTTTCTTTAACCATATTACTAGTAAAATTAATGTTAGGAAATTGACCTTTCATTTAGACTGAATTTTTTGTTTCCATGTATGAGAGTAGAAAATAGTTAAAAATATTAAAAACATAGTTAAAGAACAACTCACCACAAAAACACTCAAAACGTATTTTGTGTGATGACGTGCAATGTTGTGTTTCTCTTCATTTTATCATGTTACGCCGATGATTATCTCTTCCGAGCAAAATTGAATCCTATCACACCAGCGACGCAATTAGTTGCTGTTCCGCAACGCGTCCGATATCCCGTTAAAGTGTGTGGCATGTTAAATTGTTTCAAGCGGGAGATCATTAACACAAACTGCAATTTTGTTGGGTCTCGTGGACGATTCAGTTGTTACAATATTGAGGAGAACAAGTGCACTGCTCTTCCCTCCAAGAAGTTTTGTTATCGCCTTTCAAACGTGAACATGACTTACGTTTATGTCAACAAGACGGGGAGTGACCCCAATAAGTATACACTCTACACATTCAAAGATGCGATGTGTACTACACCGGACAAGTACGACAAGCCATTCACAGCTGTCTGTTCCTCAAACAATTTGATTACTGGCAAATTTGCTTGTGAAGGTGAAAAATCGCCTCTTGGGATGTTATGTAAAGCACGAGATACGTTTTATAATAACACAAAGAAAAGTGTTATAAAGTCGGGGGATGTGAGAAATGTTGTTTGTATTGCACTGATATTAATTGCACTCATTTTATAATTAATTTATTATAAAGTATAATTAACTCTTTTTAATTAATTAATTTACTATAAATTATAATCGACTTTTTATAATTAATTAATTAACGAGGTAAAAGTCCTATAAAAATTAATTAACGCGTTGTTTTTAAATAACGTTAATAAAAACAATCACTTGTAAAATACGCACAATAATTTAAAATTTGAGCTCGTTATATAAGACCCCTATTAAAGCGATGCAATCAACTGAAAATTAAAGTTGGACGTAAATGAATGAAGGCAAGACGTAGTTTTGGTTGTGATAAGAAACAGTGATGTCAGTCCATCCTGCCGCGTGGTTTATCACAAAGGGGTGTATTCCTCTTATCTGTGGCCCTTCACGTTTGATTTTGTATGAATTGACTTTGATGACTGAAGAGAAGCCAACGACGGAGTCGGGACCTTTTAAAGTGACTTGATCGCCATTGCGACAAAATTTTGGTTTCACCGAAAACAGGTGAATGAAGTCGATGACGTTGTCTGGGGTAATGATAGTCATTTGAGTGGTTGAATGCGATGAAGCTAGAGGAGGCAAATGAAATTTTTGAGTTGAGAATACCGTACACGTCTGTTGTGGTTCAATGAAATTGGCTTGAATGGGGTTGTCTACTATCTTCTTCTCTGTGTACTTTGTGTTTTCATCACAAATGATCAAACTGAAGCAAGTCGTGCGACACACAGGAATTGATACGAAGAGGGGGCATGAGTGTGGGATAACAACACTGTCCAATACATACTTTGTGATTGGTTTCACATAGGGTTGAATAACTTTTGACATTAAAGTGAGTTTAACAGCAATACTCTTTGTCATGGTACTTAAATTCAAATATTCGGAAGCATTGCGTCGAGACGGAAAGAATGTTGTCGGCATCAGTTTTTCATTTTGTGTGTCACATATCAAAATTTCTTGAATGACGGTATTGAAGCGCATTGCGAAAGAAGGAAATATAGGAAAGTTATGCCTCAAAGTGTCGTCGAGTTCCAAAACCATTTCTTCGAAACGAGTGATTTTTTTCTGAGTCTTTTTTATTGCTAACGAAATGGTGTAGTGCATTTGTATTGCTGAAGACTCCAAGTTATCGTTTAAAACGTAAGCAATACAATTTTTGTGTTGAATGTAGTCATAGAGGAGATGACATTTTCTGCAGAGATGTACTTTGAATGAGGCGGAGGTATTAATGGTAACTACAAAAGAACACTTTTTACATATACCTCTCTCACAAAAGTAACACTTGTGTAACAGTCTGAGTCGTGTATCACAAAAACACGTTGTTCGACAACGAAGTGTGTGTGTTGAAACTTTTTCACCGTTGAATATTAACGAGAGTTTCCTCTGTATATTTTCTATCTCCGTTTTGTGCTCGTCATATTTTATTGGAGTGGTGCAAATATTCATTCTCTTTATTAGTTCAGAATAAATCATTTACTATTTATTTTTCACTACGGTGTGGAAATTAAACATCAAATTGGCAAAAAAATCATTGAAAACAAATGAATGAAATAAATACTATTTTATAATTATATAATAGTTTATTATATAAATATATTTATTTTTGGTTTTTTTATTATTATTATTTAATATTGATCACTTGTATAATTTGATAGTTTCTTAAACTATTTAAAATATTAAGCAAAAAAAGAAAAACATTTTTTAAAAACAGAAAATAAAAATCAAGACGAATCACTTCTGAAAGAACTCATAAAAACTCTTTTCTTCATCAAAAGAAAAACCATACAGAATTTAAAACGAACTATAAAACAACCATTAAACACGACAAAATCACATCAAATATAAATAGCCCACGAACTTCAAAAAAAAACACAAAGAACTTGAAAATATATTATCATGAGAAGCACAGTGATTCTATTTACACTTGTTCTCTTAGTTCTTTCAAGTGAAGTTGTTAAAGTGACGTATGAGGTGTCCCACAAGGACAGAAAGGAGTTAGAGAAGAAGGCTGAACAGAGATTTGCCGTCGAGTTCCTCCGCATTAAGAAACATCAGGACCATTTAAAACAACACCTGAAGAAGAAAATCTCCGTGTTCAAGGCGAATAAAGAGACGTACCAGAAAGTCCGCGACACGACGTTGAATGAGAAGAAAGAGGCAACAAAGGTCTCTTTGGAGTACTTGGAACAAATTAAGGCACTTGACCTCGAACCGGCTAAAGTGCGTTTAGAAGCGAAGAAGAACAACAAAACGATGGCAGAGGCAGATCAGTTAGTGAGCGATGCTGTTAAAAAGGCGATTGGAGAGAAACTGAAGTTGAGCAACAAGCAGACGAAGAATAACTTGAAGGTCGAGAAGATAGCGAAGAGACTCCAACACTACGAGAACAAAATCAATAAGGAAAATCGACACTTGAAGAGAGCCGAATTCAAACTGACAAAGTTACACGCCAAAATAGCGTCAACGAAGACGGACCTCGACACGAAGAAGAAGAGATACGTCGCTAAGAGAATGAGACAGCTTGAGAGGATTGCCAGAGTCAAAGCGATCAAGAAGATGATCAAAAAGATCGAAAAGAAGCTTGACAACGTTGAGAATGAGGGGGAGAGAAAGAAACTTATTAACAAACAGAAGGTTGCTAAGACTATGTTAGTCAAGATTGAGGCTCGAGTGAACATCCACAAGACGAGAAAAGCACAAAAGAAGGCGAGATGGAACTCCATCACAGCTACTATTAAGAATATGAATAGATATATTAAGGGCTGGAAATATGACCAAAAATTGAGAATTTTGGATGTTGCAAAGGCGACTGCACAAGTCAATGGATTACAAAAGAGCATTGAAACTATTATTAATCAAGCGAAGAAAACGCACAAGGTCGACACTGTTGAGTTACAAAAGGTGGTTGATAAGAAATCTGCTGCGATGAATCAACTTGACAAAGTCAGAACTGAACTTGAGGAATTCCAGGAGAAAGGAGAGAAGAGAATACGAGTGTATCAATACTCAATTTTGAGACAAAAGATGAACGACGCTAAAATTAGAATTTCACAACACAGACTCTCTAAGGACGCTGCGAAGGTCACTAAAAAGGAATATATGACAAGAATCCAGAAGTTGAATAAATTGAAAAGAAGAATGGGACTTTGCCCAATGAACAGACTTCGAATTAAGAGAAGATTAAGAGTATATAAGAAGGAAGTTAAAATAGCGACGGGGAAGATCAGAAGAAACAACAAGAAGATATTGAGACTTGAGAACAGACTCTCATCGCTTGAGAGAAGGTTCAGAAAGATACAAAAGAAGAGGATTGCAAAGATAGTCATCACTATGAGCCGATTGAAAGGCAAGTTGAACCATTTGAGACAAGAGATCATGGCTATTCGAGTCAGAAAACAAAGCGGACAAAAGGAGATCTTGTTGGTGAAGATGAGAAACTTACAAATCCAAGAGAAACAAGTGAAGAACACACTGAAGAGATATCATGGAAGAAACGGCCACGTCTTGAGAAAGCTTGAGACCATCAGAAAGGAAGAACTTGCAGCAGCAAAGAAATTCTATAAGGACAAGAAGAAGATGTACAAACGTGTGAAAGTTGTTATCAAGAGACTAACAAAGAAGGTTGAGGTCTTCAGTTCACAAGTCAAAGAACACAATGGAAGTCCATTCAAACAAGTTAAAATGATGAGGAAGATGAAGAAGTATGTCAACAAACTTGAGAAGGCGAAGGAACTGAAGAAGAGTTTGAAGATTAAGAAGGACACTGCACGATCGAAATATGAAGTTTTGAAAACTAAGGCGATCAATAGATTGCACACGAGAAGAAGCCAAATGTACGCTGAACAGACTTGGAAATTGTCTGAGTTGAGACAACTTGCGAAATCCGAGAAGGACACGACGACTTTGATTAAGAAGACCACCGACTTCAAGACGATGAAGAGTTTGAACAAGGAATTGAAGTATGTCAGAAAGGACGGAAAGATGATTCAACTTGAGTTGTATAAACTAGTCAAGAAGATCTCAAAGGTCAACCAATTGTTTGTGAGACACAGCCAATACACCGCGATCAGAAGAGCGAAAGTCATCTTTAAGAAGTACAACAAGAAGTACTTGAAATTTGAATTGAAAAAGAACCAATTGAAGAGAAAAATGGCGAAGTATCAAGACCAACTGAACGAGATCTTCAAGAAACAACCATATGTCACACAGACGTTGGCTAAGGCTGCTTTGAATGATCGACTGAGACTTGTCAAGACATCACTTGGAGACTTACAGACCGACTACGCGACTGCGGAAAAACAACAAAAGAGACTCATTGTCAGAACCTTGAGACTTTCGAAGGAATACTTCAACTTGCTCAATGTGAAGTTGTCTGACTTGAAGACGCGACTTGGCATTAAACAACAACAAAGACCAGTTGTCTCGAAGAAGGCACTTTACACGATCAACCCAGATGTACAGAAGAGAGCCATTAGAAACTTGAAGGTTATCGACTCCGATATTGAAGATTTGGACCACTCGATCGACAAAACACAGAAGAAGATCAATAAGACTGCATACGTCATCAATAAGTTGAAGGCCGCACTGAAACCAAAAGGAAAGAAGTGCATGAAACAGACCGACTGTAAGATCTGCAGAAAGCTTGGAAAGGTTGCGAAGTACGGAATCACTAGACATGAGTCTGACTCGATCATCTTGAATAGACTGAGAGGCGTCTGCACAAGAATTGCTGCTGATAGACAGAAGGAATGTTATCACCAGGCGATGAACATGGCTATGAAGGCGTTGCACACGTTCGATCCGGCTAAGTTCGAAGTCACTGAAGTTTGCACACAACTTGGAAAGTGTTAAACAATGTCGTTTTACTATAAATTTGGTTTATTAATAAATTTATTATAATTATTCTCTCATATAAATAATAGTAATTAATAAATATAATATTATTTATTATATTTATTTTTAATCTATTGTAATATTAATATTACTAATATAAATATTAGTAATTTATAAATATTATATTATATACTATTAAAAACTAAAACAATAGAATCAAAATCATTTAGTTGATGTACTTCTGCTTCTCAAGGTAATTGATAACGGTGTCAGCACACTGATCAACTGTTTTACCTGCTGTGTTCAAGAAAATTTCTGGTTTAAGTGGAGCTTCATAAGGATCATCAATTCCAGTGAATCCTTTAATCAATCCCGCCCTGGCTTTGGCGTAAAGTCCCTTTCTATCTCGTTGTTCACAAACAGCAATTGGAGTCGAGTTGTGAATCTCGACGAAATTACCATGGACCTCCACCATCTTTCTGACTTCGTCTCTGATTTCTCTGTATGGAGCAATAGGAGCACAGACGACTATGGCACCAGATCTTGCTAACAAACTTGCGACAAAGCCGATACGTAAGATATTCAAGTTTCTGTGAGCCTTGGAAAATCCAAGTTCAGAAGACAAATTTTTCCTCACAACATCACCGTCGAGTAAATAGACTGGTCTGTTGGTGTGTTTTTTCAGTCTTTCGATGACTGCATTGGACACTACACTCTTCCCAGACCCACTTAATCCAGTGAAAAAACAGACAAGACCTTGTTTGTCGATGGGTGGGTACACTTCATTGAACTCTTCTATCTCTTTCAAGTCCAAAAGGTCTTGGGGAGCACTCCCTTCACGAATGGAGTTGACTATTTTCTTTGCAGACATCTTGTCGTAGTAACTTGGAGTAGCTGAGATGACTGGCTTAAGGCCAAGTCCCTTAATAGCAGCTTGCACTTCAGAAGAGGATTGAGGAATTAAGTAATGGGAGTACCCACTGTTCTTGGCGATAATACCTCTGAGGATCACGTCTTTTGGAGCATTTGTTTTGTATTGAAGTGACGTGATGGAAACGTCTGAGAAGTTCTTTTGAGTTGTTTTAATGAGTGGATGTGGAGCTTCGAGTCCCATGACATTGACGTCGATGTGGGACTGAATGCCATCTTTTTGAAGATCTTTTAATTGAGCTTTTGTTGGGTTCAAAATTGGAGAGGAAATGCCGTGGTACACTGCGGGACCTTCTGGGCGTTTAGCCTTTCTTAATTCGGGATAATCGTAGTGTGGGGGTGGCTCAACAAATTCAAGTTTTCCAGTCACACAAATCTGAGCATTTCTTCTTGCTGGTTTAAGACTTTGAGGAAGATTAAAAGTCTGAGTTGGTGTTAACAGCCCAAGCAAAGTGCCTTCTGGTCCTCTTAAAGCAAGTTTTTTGGCCTTTTCTAAAGCAAGTGCTTCACGGCGAGTAATGGATAAAACAACAGGGTTTGGGAACAAAGCGCCATTGGCTAAATGGCCACTTGATATTACTTGTTGTGTATCCTTTAGATTCATGTATGTTGAGACAGGTCGAAATCCCCCAGTCATCATTTGCTCGAAATCTCCCATTTCTTGTGGTGTCAAAGAAACATCGGGATAGTTGAATTTCGCCGCTTCCGCTATTTTCAGAGACGCCATTTGCTTTCGAAATTTTGGAGTTCCCTATTTATTCAACGAATTTCGATTTTTTGCAAACTAAAGCATTTTCATAGTAATTCAAAAGGTGCAATTTATGAAACAATTATTTATTATAGTTAAGTGTATTAGTTTTTTACTATAATATACTGTTACAATTTTTTGAACTTCTAAATTTTTATTTTGAATCTTTTGGTTTTTATTTTTTTATACTAGACTTTTATAATTGTTGTATAATGTGTTTTTAGTACATTTAAATAGTTATCATTTAAATTTTTTTAGTAATATTATAGAATTTGTTTTGTTTTTAAACTGTATTATAAATAATAATTTTTTATGTTATTATATTATAATACAATTATTTTTTTATAATGATAAAAAAAAAAATTAAAGAGTAACTTAAAAATTGACATCAAGATTTTATTATTTAAGTTTTTTTATTTTTTTTGAATTCTAAAATTGTTCAACAAAAAAATTTATTAAGATATTTATTTTATACATTTTAATTATAAATAATTGATTAATATTACATGATATAAAAGAAAATCCAGTAAAAACATAGAAAAGAATAAGAAAATGACAATAAAAACAAACTTAAAACAAAAGAAATAAAAAGAAAGTGATTTTTATGAAATCCAAAACGAACCAAAAAGGGAGCAATGAAAATAATTAAAAAACACCAAGACAAAATGTAATGAAATTGTCTTGCCATATTAGCATTATAGTTACCACCATAATACTAACTGAAGAGAAAAATACACCCATCAATCGAAAATGCCTCGATAAAGAAAACAAAATTTCATCCTTTATGGAAAAGAGTTCCAAAGTCACCTTTCTTTCTAAAGTCACTGAAGGGTCTTATGTCGAAGGTAAAAGAGTGTCAACTAGTTAACACAAAGATAAAGACTTCATAGATGGTTCATATCGTCCTTCGCTTTCTTCTGAGTAATTTTTGGAGGTATACGGTGTGTTCTCTCCTCTACAATTTTGGAGCGTTTCTCTTTTGGATAGTCGTCCCTCTTCTTGCCACACAACAAGGAGCCACCAACTTAGATTTGGCTATTATCAATGCGGTGAATTATGGAAGTTGTTTTTTGTTGTCGTGGTTGTGTGGGTTTATCAACGATCAAATAGCGGGGTGGATATTAGTAAGAATAGGTGTTGTGATATATATAGCCGCGTGCATTTTGTTAATGTTTGTCAACAACAATTTGTGGATTTTGTGGATTATGGCCATAATGTATGCCATTTCGTACGTTTTCTTTTGGGTACCTATTCAGTGTTCAATCTCACGAGAAAGTGATCCAGTCGATGCAGACTTTTGGTTAGGAGTGTTTTCGGGGTCTTGGTTTGTTCATTCTTTATGATTAAATGCAATAGTTATTATATTAATTAATATATTAATATATTAATATATTAGTAGATATATTTAAGTAGTCCTAATTATATTAATTAGTATAATTTTAATTAATATAATAACTATTATATTATATTATTTATATAAAAGAAATGAAATAATAAAAAAGGACTTTTGGACAAGCTGTTGGGTACTTATGTGGTGCGTTTTTATTTACAAAGTTAGGAGTTGTTCAGTCCCTATCTATTTCTATAGCTTCGTTATCTTTAATATTATTCTTATATCCCTGTTGGGAAGGAACAACAGTTTTTGGTGTTGATTTGAATTGGAAAAAGAAGACGAGTGAACAACAAAAGGAGCGAATAGGAGTTATAACGATGGGGAAAAAAGAGCGACACCGATTAAAGAAGAGAATGATGCAATATCTCGTACCTGCTTTTTTGTGTTCTATTGGGTGTTATGGGACTGTTTTAGCCTATGGGTCACAATACTTTAATCGAGTGTATGGGACGAAAGACGCCTTTTTCCCTTCGATGAAAGATAGTGCAAGTAAATATGATATCTTCATTGGAGTCTTCTTCTTCGTTGTGTTTTTAATGTTCACAATTGGATTTATCAGTGTTGCCAACTTCAAATTTCTCTTTTTCAATCGGTGGAATATGATAGTCTTCCTCATAATATCGACAGCAGTACATTTCATAGCAGGCGCAGTCTCAAATTGGATTGTACAATTAGTATGTGGGATGATGATGGGGTTCTGTGCTGCTTATGCGTCACAGAATCTCCTTGTGACGACATCGAAACTGTCTTTATTGACGTCAAGAATGTCGAGTGTGTATGTTGGATTACAAGAGTCGTTGACATTCAATTTGGTCGCTTTTGCACTTCCATTGATAGTAGGTCCCATTTCCGACGCATTGAATGACTATAGAGTACCAATGTTTGGGTGTTCTGTTGTGTGTGTGTTAGCTATTTGTATGTTAGAAGTTATCTGGCAGATGTATGATATCTTAGTGATTCAGAAGATGGACAAAGAGGACAAAATGCGTGTAGATGTCTTGTTTAACAAGATAACAACAACACAGAAATGTTCTATTTTAAGTAGAAATGGTGAAGAGTTTGAAAAGTACAGTCGTGCGAATTGGTTCACGTGGAAACAATACAACTTGATGACAAAGAAATTAAAAAACAAAATGAAGTGTGTAGGAAGTGAATCCAACACTGCCACTTCATCAAGTTCTCTTCAAGAAAGCACCAATTGATTATTTTATTTTTAAATTGCTTTTAAACTGTTTGCACCATTATAATGAATAATTTCATGTGAGCGATATCGAGAAAATACACTGATGAAATAATATTGTTATATATTTTACAAATCAAAACAGATAAATAACATAAAAAGGAGTTGTTGATTCAAGTTTGTGAAAACATTCAAAAAACAGATTTGAAATTAAGAAATAACAACGGATTATCTATTTTTGTATCATTCTACTTAAATAATTTTTTTAACCCTAAATTAATAAAAACACAATGGATTTGATATATGTTCCGGAGTTGGTGACATGGCACTTGGTGGAATTGATGTGGGTAATTAAAATAAATAGGTTCAAGGTTGGAATTCATTTTTGAAAGTATGCTCACATTGCGAAAACTTGCTTTGAGCAATTATTTTTGATCGAAAAATGTCACTAAAAAATCCATATTCATTCCTTCCTATTTTATTTCTATACAGAATAAGTGATATTTTTATTTACAACTGAACGAAATGCTGGTAAGATTGGTCAGTTTATTCCTTTCGATTTATTGAGGGTTAAATTGTAGCATTTATTCTATATTAGTGCCTTTTACTAGTCAGTATGTAATCAATCGACATATTAATAAAACAAATACCAGTTCCAAAAATTAAATTATTAATATATTTATATTTAATTAGTTGTATAAAAGTTGTTTTCATTTAAACTCAATTTGATTGTGTTTTTGTCTTTATTACCAAATTATAAATTTAAAATATTGTTGATTGAGTAATTTCTTTTGTTTTGAATTATTTTCTAATTGTGTTTTTTAAAGAATTTGATCTTCGTTTGTTTTAATAATATGAATATAAACTATTTAAGTTATAATAAATAAATATTAATAACATTTTTTTAAATAATTATAGTATTATTTTTTTAGTAAATAAAAAACATAATATTAAAAGAAATACCAATTTTTACTTATATAAAAATATTAATTTTGCTATATTCAATAGTATTATTTAGTGTGAATGATAACTTCTAGTAAAAAATAGACAAAACTTGTGTTAGTTGTGTCTTTTTGATGATTATTTATTATTAATTTTATTAAATTAAATTAAATTCAATTGACATTTTTTATCACAAAATTAAACCAAAGTAACGTCACTTTGGTGAATTCCCTTTTTATTAAACAAAATAAAACTAACAAACAATGAAAATTTGCGTTTTATATAAAAAAATTGCTTGTTATTTGGTTATTTAATCCAAATATGCATATTATTACTTGTTTTTGTATCAAACTCTTCGTTTTTGGGAATTGTTAAAATTGTTTAATAATTTCAATTCATTTTGGAATATATAATAAGTTACGAATTCGGCAAATGTTCAAAATAAATATTTATATAATGTTCCAAATGATTTAATATTATTATACTTATTATTTTCCCAATAAATCGGGGTATAATTATTATGAATAAAAAATGAAGGGAGAATTTTCATTAAACAATTGAGGAAAAAATCTTAATGAAAAAAAAGCCAAAGTGAGTGAATTTAATATGTAAGATATTACAAATAAGTAAACTGAGTTTTTTGTTAAATTGAATCCATAAATACCCAAATTCCAAAAAAGTATTCTGCGAAATCATTTTTAGAACATAAAAAACATCTCAAAAAATCGTGTATAAAAGCAATATGAACTTGGAAACTATAACAATTGGAACCAATGCAACCACAACAAGACGAAGTCAAAAAGGCATTCCGAAAGTCAGCACCTGTTACCAACGAATTTGAGTTTGAATTTGATGACATAGCAGACGATGAAGTTCTATCTATTTTGTGTCACTCGACACCTTGTCACAACTTTTTTGTAGTCTCTGATAGCTCTTCAGAAATAAATCATACGTACAACATTGAAAGGTCTAAAAAGCCGTCGCCGGTAGCAAGGAAAGTGTTCTCAAAATACAAATAATCTTCGCACTATAATATCCATTGATACTGTAAATTCTTATTGATTTCATTTTATTTTTTATTTCTTGTTTTATATGTATTAATGCTTTTCATACTATAATTTTATTACAAATTAATAATTTCATAATTGATTTATTTTTATTATTTCATTAAAAAAAATAAAAAATATAGTTCATATTTTACAATTGTTTAGTAAAAAAAGTATGGTTTATATATAAATTATTCTTAGTTTCAATTTAATAAAATAAATTACTAATATTTAGAATATACATTAATAATGGAATTATTTTTTTTGATTAACACTTTAAAAAACATTAAACAAAATTCAAATTGTCTAAAAATCGGGAAATCTCGAGTTTATTAAATAAATTTCCGTTTTTTTAGAGTATATAATGTGCATAAACAATACACAAGCCAAAAAAGGAAAATCATCAAAAATTTGATTAATATCCCTGGAAAAACAGGTCAAAACAAAAATAAGGGCGTTATTTTAAGTGTTAAATGCGAATTAAATATGATCCATTGTTTGTTTTTCTCAAATCCAAAAAAAGAAAAACATTTTTTATCAATTGTGTTATTAATCAAAGATAGAAAAAGATATAGAAAATTAGCTAAACCAAACTTAACTATAAAAACGTGTTATTTCATTGTATATCAAAACTAAAAAAATCAAATTACAAATTTGATCTAAATTTAATCAGAGGTTTTTATAACCACAATCCTAATTACCCACGTCACTATTTTATTACCAAAATGTTCATCTTCTCTATAAATTCGTACGTTATAATACCACATTTTCGGCAATAATTATTTTGGAAACCTCTGATTTAACAGTGTTTTGGATGTACTTTGAGTAATTAATTATAACCGAATTCTTCGAATAATCATAATAATACCTTATAACTAAACTATATTAATATTATTATTATAAGTTGTAGTAATTTATATTAATAACAATAACTTACTTTGATAAGATTCTCATGGTTTAACTTAATACGTTGGTTGTGAACTTGAAAAAGAGAAGAAACTTTAAAAAGAAAACCCATGTCGAGTCGTTTTGAAGCTTTATTAGACCGGACTTTAGGTTCAGTTCCTGCAGAAAAAGAGTTAGCGGACATTGAGTTTGTCACATCGAATCTCAAGAGTATAGAGGAATTAGATATATACTCCAAAAAGCAACGCACTATAACTAACAAAATACTGGACACCATTTCAGAGCTTTTAAATGAATTTGGAGAGTTGTCGGACTTACAATCAACGCATCAGACATCAAATAAAGAAGAGGCGATCACTCAGAGTCACTCAATAAATTTCATTTTATTTGTCCAAGGATCACTTCAAGTGATGCGAGAGGAACTAGTGAAAGGGTTTGCGAAACAAATGGAGTATATCATCGGTTCGATTAATGAAGCAAAAAGCACGTTTCAGAAGAATCAAAAGAAACCCGTCGACTCCCTTGAGTGTCTGACTATCGCAAAAGCTCAACTCGACAAAATCATCGAGAAGAGAAATCAAATCATTTTGTCCCATCAACTCATCGCGTTCAGTTCCCTTGCAAATGCTATTCAAAACAACTTCCAACACAACCACGAGCTTTCCGATAAAATCGCGGAGATCGACAATTTAGAGGATGAGGCAGACTCAACCGTATTAAAAGCAGTGTCATACTCACAACACACACTTGGCGAGATTTTGGACGCAGAGAAGCGGAAACGCACCGAACTGCCAAAAGCAATTGAACAGCTCATTGAAGTGATCTCAACAAAGCACTACCTGTCTGAAGGGATATTTCGAACAAATGCTGCAAGTACAAGTGTGAATGACATTTGTTTAAAAATGGCAGTTACTGACTTCTCCGTCTTACCAGCAGATTTACTCGCAGGCGTTTTAAAAAAATTTGTGAGGAATTTGCCGTCGATGTTGTTTTCCAATTTGTTAGCCAAAGACATTCTCATAGCTTTTCGTTTGTTATTATTTATTAATAATAATTATTATCAATAATAATACTAAATAATAAAATTATTAATAACTTTATTAGAACGAATAGTATTGAGAGGTAGAAGCGTCACCAACACCAGAACAAAAGATTTCGAATCTAAAAACACTCTTTGACACCCCAAAATGGGTGCCACCAGAGAAATTGGTACTTTTCAAAGCAATTTGTATTATGTGTCATATCATAGCATCACATAGCGACGTCAATTTAATGAATGAAAAGAACTTGTCAGTGTGTTGGACGCCTACTATGTTCAGTGTAAGCACGGAAGAGCTCTCTCAATATTTGGCTTTGATGGAGTTCATCATCAAAGAGTCCGACGAGATCTTTAAAAGGAAAAACGTGAAGAAAATTGGGACGCGGAAAACACAAATCCCTGAAAGCCAACGACTCAAACTCGTCGCTCCCGAGCCAGAATTGACAAACTCATTGTTAAGTTCCTCACCACAACAAACCGCTTTTATCAATACATCTCCAAATGTCAACACATCTGCTCCTAAATTTGCGATGGGGTATCATCAAAGAGATTCAAAAGACTCTAAAGAGGCGCACGACTTGAAAGAACCAAGACTTTCAAAAGACTCTCAAGAAGCTAAAGAAGTCAAAGACACATTAGAATCAAAGGATTGCAAAGATCTTCAAGACTTGAAAGAACAAGAAGAAATGAAAGACCCAATGGACCTTCAAGAAGAGCATCAAAAAGAGAAAGAAAAACCCGCGATAGAACAGTTCAGACCGCTCAACATCGGGATGAATAGAAATCGACAAAAGAACAGTCAGGATCTTTGAACGTTATTCATTGTGTTTACATTCCCAATTTGGACTTTTCTATTGGTTTAAAATGAATTGTGTACATCCCAACTGAATTACTCCTCCATCGCAACAAACATAAATTCATTCTTCTTGATTTGTTTGTTCCCCGCCTTTCTCTTGTTCTTGAATAAGTCGGCAAAAGACTCTTTTTTGATAACCACCTTCTCGTCGAAGAGTTGAGGAACATCTTTCTGAATGACAGCCTCATTGCGTTGAATGATGTCATCAATGACAAAGAAATTTTCTTCTTCTGTTGAATCGATTTTGGCGTGGAGGTACTTCACAGACACGGGGAGTTCGGGGTACATTTCTAGAATGCAATGCTTGAAATATTCAAAGAGGAGAAATGCACCAGTGGAGTCAAGCACCTCTCTAATAACATTTAATAACATCGCAATACTATTTAAGTATTTCGTCGGAAGTGGGTCTGATTTCCTGAATATTAGGCCAACTACAAGCCTAAGATGAATTTGGACGTTCGCCATGTAAAACAATTTTTTAGTGTCTTCAGTACTTCTCGCCACGTCGAGTGTCTTTACTAAAATGTTATGAGACAAAAGTGCTCCATTCACATCAGCGAGTGTGTTTTGTCTTAGTTGATTAAGACTCGAGTAAATAATGGACTTGACATCATAACCCAAGTCTGCCTCGCTAAGACCTTCGCGCGTTGTAATGTAATCGTCCAGTGATTTTTTTAAGGAAATGAGAATGGTAGACTGCATCGAACCCAGTGTGTGAACATTATTAGTTTATCACTACTTTCTATTCTAAAAAACAGCTTTTGATATTTGGTCTTATTTTCGATCATTCAATTAAAAATCAATAATTAAAATATAATTAATTGTATCATTTTTTATTATACAGTAAATTGCTTAAAACAATCATAATATCACTAATTAGTCTCTTTTTTCTAAAATTGTAATTATTAATAATTCAATTTTAACTATAATTTCTGTATTTATATTACAATCATCTCCGTCTGTCTGTTTGCCAGAACAATAAGTTCTATATATGTTTTATACATATACTAATGAAAGTCTTATATTTTGTTTTTAACAATAAACCAGTTTAAAAACTATATACAGTATGGTCACTCAACCTTATGCAAGACTTTAATAATTATTTTATAATTAATATAAATTATTATATAGTTTGATTATTTTAAACCAAAAACACCAAAATTTATTTTAGTTTTAATTTATTAAAATGGTTTTTATTAACTAATATTTATTAATAAAAGTCTTGCATAAAACAAAATTTGACATAAGTCAGAGAGACCTTACTATATATTTATAATAAAAACAATGAATTAACAATCCTCAGCACTTCTTTGTTCTTTTGAAATTGGATTTTGTTCAATTGTTGATGAATTTGGAATTTTGGACTGAGTTTCCATAAAAAGGTCCGTTTGTAGAAGAATTTCATCGGGGTATTTCGCCTTCAATAAATTGATAATTCGTCTGTGTGTCTTAACATTGCTTTCTTCGTTAATTTGGACACTTTTTGCGTAGTCTTTGACAATTTCGACATAATCAGTGAGACTATCGAGTTGTGTTTGGAGTTGATTATTTCTCGTTTCAAGTTGGTGAATGTCGTCTTCCAATTTTCGTATTGACTTGTCCTTTACACCAACAATGGAATTCATTTTGTTAGAGATCAAATCCATAACAATGTCCAAAGCCAATTTATCGCGCACTTTTTTCTTTTCGTCAGTCATTCGAGGCTTTTTATTGAGTATCTCTTTTAGTGTTTCTTTTAAAGAAACTTCTTCAGGAGTGAGTTGTGTGTTGTATTCTAAGAAAAATGTTTGGTCTTCATTGCAGAGCGTGTTGTACAGCTCTGTGGTCATTTTTGGTTCAGAAAACGTAAAAAAATTGTCGATAGACGGTTTCGATGACAAGTCTGTTGCTTGAGTTGTTTCCATTTGTGTTGTTTGTGGTTGACTTTCTTTGATTATTGTTGTACAAATAAAAATTGTATTTTTATAATTTTTATTTCCTTTTAATTTGATAAAAAATTATAAGGAGATAAATAAAGATACAAAGAAAGTGTTGTACCGATAGTTGAAATAGAATAAACAATATAACTATTAGTTATATTGTTTATTATCGTTTTTAATTATTTTATTATTACAAAACCTATTCCTGATTGACCATCACCAAATTGATATATTTGCCGAAATTGTTTTTTGAGAAAAAAACTCAGATGTTTAAGGCTGAGTTTTTTATACTTTGTCTAACTCAGTTTCCACTGACTCGATATGACTGTTCAGCATTTCATGAATTTGGGAACCAATTTACACTTTTTTAATTATTTACTATATTTTTAATTAAAATATTATTTAAATAGAAAAAAATATATTAGAATTAAATAATTTATCGTTTAGAAATCGCATTAATTAATAATTTATAATTAATACTAGTAATAATTATTAATTAAAGTATAAGTTAATAGATACAATAGTTTGTGTGTTAAAGAGTTTATCACAACTACCCAATCATCTTTACTATATAACAAACAAATAAACAAAACCCTTACGAGACGCGTCAATGTAGTCAAATAACTCATCTAGAATTGAAGTTAGTCTTACCAGCCTTTGGTTGTTTTGAGCCAGTCTTTGCTTTTGGGTGTGTTTCCTTCTTTCCTTCCTTCTTAGCTTCTTTCTTAGCAGCCTCCTTCTTAGCAGCATTAGTCGCCTTGATTTCCTTAATCTTTGCGATGGCCTCTTGTCTCTTCTTAGCGAGTTGTTCTGGTGTGTATGTCTGCTTTCTCTTGGCGATTTCTTCGGCGGAGATTCCGTGGTATCCTCTGATCACCTTGATAACTCTCTTTGCCTTCTTCTTGCCAACGACTTCTTGTTGGAGACCCTTTTTGTTGAGTTGTCTGTAGATCGCGGTCCAGAAGACCTTTCTTGGGTTTGTCTTTCTCAAAAAGGCGGACTCCGACTTCTTTGTGATGAATGTGAAGACTTTCATGTCCTCTCTCACAAACTTTCTGCCCTTCCCAATAGGGATCTTGAAGCCACTGAATGAACACACCTGGGTCCTATAAGTCAGTCTTTCCGCGTTTTTAATTGAATTGTTTTTCTGTGGTCATAACAAACTTGATCGACATGTCTGCAAAAAACTTAGGGTTCTGTTTCCAGTTTCATTTACTATTATTATAATATCTTTTATTATATTTTTTAGCCCGTTGGAAAGCTCGAGTTTAACGTGTTTATAATCGTTATTTACACATACCAAGTTTATATAGTATAATTATAGTATATTTATACTATAATAGTACCAAATTGGTATAACTACAAAAAACTATAAACAATAGTTTCTTTATTATTGTTTTGTTACTAATTAATTCTTTAAGTAATGAATAGAACTCTTCACAGAAACACATGCAAAATAGAGGCGCTTCAAATACACTACATGACCAATGTCTCAAATCATCACTTCGAATGAATAAACTTCGTGCGGAACGAAGACAAATGGTGATGACACCACGATTGGACGACCAAGACATGACTGGCCAAATTGAAGACAAACCACTGCAGTATTCTCTTCCATTACTTCGAAACGACGCCACCACGAATGAAGCGATTTTGCTGATTCACACCCATTTGATTAAATCGAAATTTGAAGACATCTATTTTGTGTACAATTGCATTGATCTTCTCTTCTCGAAGTTGTCGAAAAGTCTTGAAACGGTCGAATTAACTCTCAAGCTGTTAACCGTCATTAGCTCGTGTTTGGGGTCGTCCCAAGTGTTACTCAAAATGGACCACAGTGCTCTCATTCGGACTTTCATCCCAAGCGCAAGTCCAGTCATCCGTGCACAAACCATCATATATCTTGCAAACGTCGTCAACGACTGTCCTCAAGTCTTTTCACTCTTCAAAAAGTGTGACATCATTCCAATCATCTACAACTCCTTGCGTCTGTATCAGGACGACAGAGACTTCTGGTGCAAATGTGCTCATTTTACCACTATCTGTCTCTTACAATTGAAAACATTAGACGCCCAAACACCAACTAATCTTTACGAGGAGGTCGCTACCATCTTCTTGGTCTTATTAAGCAAAATGGACGAACTTCCTCCGATGTATCAAGCAGTGGCTGAACTAGCTGCACAACCAAAAAGCCTTAAAAGTGTGTTACTAGTCCTCCCAAGTCTCTTTAATGTCATGGTTGCGGGGTTTCTCTCGAAGAACTCGTATGTCCGGAATGCCGTGTTAACGTTTTGTTTGTATATCATAGACGGTAAAGAGAAGTACATTACTATGCTTCTCGAAGCAAATTCTTTCTTTGATAATTTTGCGTATTACGCCGAGGTCTGTCCTTCGAAAGGATTTGTCGATATGTGCTATATATGCTCGAATATCGTCGCGTACCAACCAACGAGTGCAGACATCCTCATCGAGAAACATATCGTTCAAATCGTCATGGCCAAATTGGGGCAAATTGAGACGGAAAGTATTAACATGAAAGACCTTGTCACGGAGTTCTCGTGGTTCTTCGCGCAAGTCTTGCAAGCCGCAAATGACCAAGGAAAACTGATTATGATTAACTCGGATAACTGTTTCTATGGATTGAAATTGATGAGCCAATACCTTTGCGATGGTGCAGAGGTCGAATTGGTTATCCCCCTCTTCGAGGCATTAGAACGAGTCGTCGTGACACTGAACGAAATCGATCAAAACGCCGCACAGACTTTTGTTAATACATTGGAAGAGTCGGGAGTTGTCGATGGAGTGTATAAGATACAAGGATTGAGAAATGACTGCCTTGACTACTGTAATAAGTTCTTAAAAGCACTCGACGTGGTGAATCATATCGAGGAATTGTAATAGTTTATTCTAGTTATTTTTAGAATTTGTTTTTCACTCCCATGAAAAAATAAGTATCAATAAATGTAGTACTATTTAACTATAATGTATAATACAATTTTAAGTGAAGAAAACAATGAGTTTTGACCCATTTTATTTTTACAAATTAGATGTTGAATTAGAATTATAAAAAATTCCTTTGATTTGATAAAAACTTGAATTAAAAAAATGAACAAAAAACCTAAAACGAATGCCAAAACAACAGAAAACGCAAAAACGAAAGAAGTACCAAGTCGACGAATTAGTCGAAACGATGGAGCAATTACCACCTAACACGTTTTTGTACAAAAAGGAACAAATACCACCAAAACTAAAGAAAATCTTTGAGTTACAACAAGTCTTTCCAGATTGCCCAGAAGAAGTTTTAGAAGTTTTACTCGAAGAAAACGATATGGACGTTAACAAAACGGCGGACGTTTTGTTCACACAACAAGCTTCGTATGACCCGGCGGTATTCTCCGTGCCGCAAAAACCGATGAAGAAACTTAAAACGGAAAGTGAGCGATGTGAAGGCCGTTGGGCGAAATACGGGCAAAAAATACGAGAAGAAACTTTAAAAACATCACCAGAACTTTTAGAAGAAAATTCGAAAGAACAATTCGATGATGCAATAGACGAAAACGAAATTAAAAGACCGACAATGGCGGATAAAATGAAGCTGAGGTATTTGAATGATATCTTCAATGGATATACCACGAAAAACGATATTGATGAGTTATACACCATTTTGGGCGGAGATGTCAAAACGATAATTGCTGTGTTAGCTGAAGGGCACGATGAGCTCAAAACGAGACTTGGACTTGTTGAAGACGATTTCACCAAAATAGAAGATGAAAATATGGATACCGAAATAGTCGAGGAGAAAGTGAGTATGCCCGTAGTGAGGGGGATGATGAGTGGAGAAAATGAGAAGAGTTTTGTTGAGCGCATGAATGACGAAATATCTCTGGCGTCAAGAGAACGTGCGTTTTATTCGAAGCAATTAATTAGCGCGCCAAGGAACTCGAAAAACGCGCACGAGATTCAAAGTCGTATTGGAGAGTTGGTTAGAAAAATCGAATTCAAACAACAAAACGTTATTAATTTATATACAAGAATGTTAATGAGAAAGACAGCAGATCATTCAAAGAGTTGTCTTGAGATAGATGTGCACGGGTTTTCTGAGAAAGAAGCAGTTGAGGCACTTGCTCGATTGTTAAGTGTAGCTGAGTACTCCAAAATGGGAATGATCAGATTTATTACTGGAATTGGAAGACATAGTGAAAAAGGGTATTCAGTCATAAAACAGAGGATGGCTCTCTATCTCGTGAGAAACAAATACCACTTCGATGAGGAAAAAGGAGCACTTCTCGTCTATCTGTAATGTTAATTTCTTTTTTAATTTTGTTATTATAATGTATTAGTTTATTCCGTCTAGTTAAAATATGGTTAATTTATTATAATTAATACTATTTTGTACTCCACTTTTTTTAAAGTACAAATATTTTATTGGAGTTGGATTGCGAATTAAAATGAAATAAGACCAATATTTTGTAATTGTGCTCTGATAAAACAATAATGGAATTGATAGTTTTACTTTAAATATTTTTAGATAATTCCTTTGTTGTTGACTTAATAAAGTCAAATATCATTGGACAATTATTAAAAAATATCTTAGGTGAAACTATCCTTACCTTTGACAAATAATAAATATAAAATGTTTTTTTTTAAACGAAAACTTTAAAAACAACGATTTTTCGGTATTATTTGAAATCAATAAAATGCTTCGTCATTGTTTATATTATTTTGTAAAAAACAAATTAAATGAATTATTAGTAATACAATTATTAGTAAATTAATTAAAACAGATTTGGTAAAACGAAAACAACAAAAAGTGTAAAAGAAATTTATCGATTTTAAACAACCAACACCAAAGTTAAATAATGATGAAAAAAATAACAAATTCCATTATTATTGTAAATATTTGGTATTAATTAACTATTCGAAATAATTAAAACGACAAACGAAAAGGAGTAGTCAAATGACGAACAAAAATACCGAGTTTTGATAAAACATAAAGTGTATTTTTCTACTATTAAAACCGAGTCATCTATTGTTTTAAGAACTGTTTAACATACGACCTAACTTGATGCTTCAAGTTTTTGTTTCATTATTTATTCTCGGGTTTGCTACATGTTGGAAAGACGGCGAAAAGCCATATCTCACGTTTGTTGATCAAAACTCCGAGATGGACTCGTACTGTACAACACTTGGAATTACAATATCCGACCAAGGAATGTTGGTGACTAATATGTCTACCACTTGGTTAGTTCTTCAAAATGTACATATGAATGTCACTGTAAGAACCACACAATCGTCCAATTTAGAACATTATTTATTCACTAAATGGAATTGCAACGATTTTTCAAATGTAGAGAACAAATTTGACTCTTCGTTATCAAGTGGAGGAGAAACTGGAATTGCTCTCAGACAGTGGAATGAAGTCCTATCATTAAATTGTATTAACGGACTCAAGTTCACTTTATTGGATTCTAAAAGGGCATTCTACATTGAAAAGTCGTATTCTTCAGATAGTACAAGTGATCATATGGCTTACTATCCAATATACTTCGGCTCAGACCCAGTATATCTAACAGTGACTATTCACAATATCAACGTCATCCCAAAAACGTACGTTATAGAAGAACTTAGGTGCGTCTTTTTTGCTTCGGCTACGAATAACATTACGGAAAACATTTTTTATTTGGAGAAGAACCAAGACATGAACAAGAATGTTGGTGAATCTGCTGTACAGTGCAATGACTTTCAAAAGCGGTATATCTGTCACAACTCTTCTGTGAGTATAGAGAAATCTAAATGCATGGAAAGTAGTAAAGACTGGATTGATAAGGGGAACTATGAGATAGATCTTGTATATCAATACATCAAAACCGGGTTGAGTAAAAATGTGATTGAAAAGGATCTTAAAATCATCAATTACTTGTTTGAAAAGACAGAGAGTTTTGAGTTTGACTCGAACAAAAGAGTTGAGATTGAGAATTTTGAAAATGTTATGCAAAATGTTATTTTTAGTGGTTCGGGCCAATTTTACATCGAGAATTTCCATTACAAAACTATTGAGGTGATCAAGACGAAAGGCGGCGTTTTGTTGGAAATTGCTCAACTTCAAGGAAATGTCACGTTTCTTTTACAAGGAGGCGAAAACACGGAATTCACTGTAAAAACACTTCAGTACAAAAGTGGTGACATTTCCATCGAAAATGTTGACTTTGATTCAATTGTTATAAATAATAGTACAATCAACAATATAAGTATAGTACAAGGAATTGTCAATACAAAAAACAACATCCAAATTTTTTCAAGCAAAAAAGACGAGGTGGTCAGTCTTTTTGTTGACAGTAAAAATGCTGCAAACACTCTTCCACCAATAACATTTTTGGATCAAAATATTATTCATGTCATAGGGGAAGTCACATCAAATACAGACTTTTGTGTCGACGTGGCAAGCACCATACCGGGATCGCAGCTCTCCGTTGTTGAAAGTCAAACCGTTAAAATGTTGAGCCAAAAGAGACTTATTAGGTTCTGCAAAACACTTTTTGATGACTCTGTTTTATGTCACATGAACGCAACAATTTATGAGGAGAGTTATGTCAAGAATTTTCCATTTACACTGCCGCATTGCCCGTGTGATGGGGAAAAGTGTACCATATCTATACTCCCAACAAAAAGTGTTAATTTGAATAACAAAAGAATTAACGCGGTTTTGCAATTAACGAGCGAACAAGTGAATATAGTTCATACTAACTATATTTATAATTTGGCAACGAACTTAACAAAAAGTGTGGCATTATTTAGCGAAGACGTGGAACTTGGAAATGTCAATGAAAATGTTGATGTAATTAATGAAGCTGGAAATACTATAATAAATGGTAAAATAATTAATAACGTAACCATTTACAATACCGTGACTGTGACAAACGAAAATGTGACGATCAACACTGTTAAAAATGTGAACACGAAATTATTTATATCGAAGAGTGTCAAGTTTTTTCAAATTTACGATTTTGGAGATCAAAACGAAAAGATAACGTTATTGGAAACCGAAGAAACGACAGATCCCCTTGTTATCACTTTGCAAAAGAAAAACTACGGCTTTGTTGAGATACTATCAAGAAGGCCAATAACACTTAATGCGAATATGAATAACATTTCTATAGTATCGGATACTCGAATTAGTTATAGCATTAGTATTGTGAATAGTAAAACTACTATTGTTATAACAAAACAATTCACTGGCGTTTCTTTATTAAAAACCACAAAACGAACTCTCATCGGTTTTAATAAACAGAACACAAACAAGAGTGAAAGTTTGGGTGTTTCTCTTGAATTTTCAACGAACAAACTGTGCAAATTAGCGAAAATTACAGATGACATTTATTCCTGTGAAATGTGTGATTTTGAAAGATCTGATCAAAACGAAATCACAAAGGAATGCGAGGAGATTGA